GACTGTAGAATCCTGACCCTGGTCCTGACAGTTTCATGGCCGTGTAGTGAAAAAGCATTCAGATGCCCAGGTTTTGTTCAGAGACCCCTAAATCTGCAATCCCAACGCTGTTTCTCTCTACGAGTTTATCTAGTTCCTGTACCAGATATCTAAAGGAGAGGCTCACAAACGCGGCATCTGAGGTCTGAAAGGTGTACGAGGGGTGAGTTTAGCCCGCGGCCGAGATGTTTGGAGACTTTTGGTGTCTGCAAACTTTAGTTCTGGCTGCCAGAATTTTGCACCTGATGTGTACGTGTGAAAAGAAAAAAAAATTGGCTTACGGACCGATGACATTGCACCGCTATCAAAAGTTAATCTGGCAACAACCGGCTGCCGTCAGGAAGAAGGCTGGAACCCAGCGGCTGCTGAACGACTGAACAGAGTCTGCTTTCTTCTGTCTCTCTGGGCTGAAACACCTCTCTAAAGAAAAAAGCGGCACAGGAATACAGCCCGGACCACACGCCGCCCCACTTCTCCTCCTCTGCCCCGTTTCCTGGAGGCTCCACTGCCTTGCTGCCGCAAGAATCACCACTTAGCTCTGGGTTTCTCCCTCCCTCACTAGAGCTTTCCCCGGGGAGCCTGCGGCCTGGCCGCGGCTGGAATTCCCATAAAGGTCCAGCGCGCCCCGGCCGCTGCCAGAACCGCCGCAAATCACACAGGCGGGATCTGTTGACCGTCACCGGCGGGGGCGTCTGGATGGCAGAGAGAGGGTGGTGGGCATGGGAAAGAGGGGTGAGGGGGGGCGGCTGTCCGGAAAACCAAAGGGAATGGGAACGGTTGAGAAAGCGTTAAATCTGCAGAGCATCGAGCAGAACATCTGGAACATCAGTGTTTCCACTTCCGCTTTACGTTATCGGCCACCAAAAAAGAGGGGTTCTGACTTTTCTCTCGGCCTAGCTGAAACCTCCAGCAGGATCCCGGTGTAACGCAGGCGATTCTGAACATGTCCGGCTCCAAATCGGAGGATCTTCATCCACAGCTGGAGAGCAGTGGAACGACTAACTGAGACGAGGCAGTTTTCAGCTTCCAGGTGAAGCAAAACCAGTCTGTTACTGGACCGGTAACTCCTCCTGCCAATGGCTCACCGATTATGTAGTCCTGACCTTATACTTGGGCTAAACACCAAATGGGATTACATGGAGGACCAAGACAAGAGGGGGGGCTGACCCCCTCAAATAAATGCAGTGGCCCCTCAAACTAAATCCCCCAAAATTGATTACTAAATGTACAAGGCGATGCCATCTTCTCCTAATGATCCTCGTGTCTGACCCCATCTGGACTCTGGGTTTTCAACGTCCTCCACAGAAAGGACAGAAAGGCCCAAAAAGCCTCCGTTTACTCCAGGAATACAGATGTCGCCCCCTGCAGCTTTTACTTTGGGTGGAAGACATCTGGTAAACGGAGTTTAGAGACCACCTGACCAAATCCATGGTTTAAGTTTCTAGGATTTAGGGGGGGGAAATGCAGAGAAAGGCCCCGACGTGCAAAAAGGACAAAAATAGCTGGTGGAGGAGGCAGCAGGCAGAGGCGGGTTTGCACTCGCAGAAAGCCAGAAGATGCCAGGGGGCATTTAGAAAATATCAATTTCATAGTGGAGTGTGTCATCACTTCTCAGGTAGGCCCAGCAGCAGGAGGCGGACATCTTTGGACCGGCTCAGCTCCCAAACCGGTTCAGACTCATTTCGGATAAACAGATGTTAAACAGAAATCCTTGAACTGTCACCAGAGAGGAGATGGCGACACCATGCATTTATTTCCAGTGAAATCCAGGCAAAAAAAACAAAACTAATGAGTCACTTCTGACTCATTAGCGAGCCAGATTTGGAAAGGTGAGCGTGGCAATTACTGAGCTGCGTCCGTAGGGCCAACGCCAGTCTGTTTGGGTAACCACGGCCACCCCATTCCACCCAACATACAGTAACAGCAAACGCACACACTGTCCCGTGCAGCGATAACTCAACGGGAATGTTTCAGGAAAGCGTGAGGAAAAAACCGGACCACAGAGAGCACTTTCAGCTTGGCTCCTCTTATCAAATGCCAGCCGTGCTACTGTTACAGAGCCAGCTTTCCCCGGCTGCCACCGTGTCGCCGATTTGTGGACTGAACCTGGATGTTTTGATACGCACAAAAGCCCCTCTGTGAAAGGTGTGAGAGGGGTCTTTCTCCCTCGTAGACCCACGAGCAAACAAGAGGAACGGAGCCTTAAAAGAGGAACTTTTCAAAACCAACCAAGTGAACCCGAAAGCTGTCTTTTTTCCCCCCTTTTTTTTAAGGCCCTATGAGAGCTGCAGGCTCTTCGAAACAGTAACCAGCAGCTGAACATGGAGGGGAGTAAATCGGGAGCTATTTTTGGGCAAAGAGCGTAACTAAAGCAGTGACAAGCCAGCTGTGTTTGCAGAGCTTGGTGAAGGGAGGAGACAAGAGGAGGAGGAGGAGGAGGGATGTCAAAGCAGCAGTGAGCTCATTTTTTTTGGCGTCACAAAAATCAAAAAGTTTGAACATACATACTACAACCTGAGAGCTCTGATGGGAAGCTCTGACGTTCTGCTCAGACTTGCTGTTGTACTTATTATAATCATTGTTGTTGTTATGGGCCCAGGGAGAACAACTATGGGAAAGAAAGAAAAAAAAAGTTTCCCCACCACATAACCACATCAGAAGCGAGCAAATCTCGATTTCTGTCCTAGAAAAAAAATGTCTGTCCTGGCTATGTAAATAATCAAATAACCTGCCAATAAAGTCACCAGCATTGACCAGGATACACCAGGAACCCCCTCAAAGAGCAGGCTGTGTCCATTCGCCTCTGTTTTGGGGTTCTATTGACCCGTTAAACACGTTACAGCTAAACCTTTTCCATTTCAGTTTAATTTCCCCACTGCGTAGTCCTCGAGCTGCTAGCAAGACCTCGAATAAAAATTTGAAAGTGCCCCCAGAAGCTAGCATGACACTTTCATTTTGTTTTGGTTCCACTTTGTTAATTATGTACACCGTGTCCTAATTAAATTAGCACGTGACTGGGCTGAAAAGTTCTCATTAGACGTATAATTCAAACCACAAGCAGCTCGTTGTTGGCCAACTTTAGTTCAAACTCCACCACAGCCGAGCCGAGTCCAGATTTGCCGCGCCGGAGTCAAGCAAACGCTTCATTTTGAGAAACATTAGCAAGGCAAAGCTAATTAGAGACGCGATCGATTTGTTTACCTCTGCGGTCCGCAGCGAGGGCGGCTTCCTCAAAGCCATCTTAAAAGAAGTTTCAGCGGCTCCGGTCATTTTCATAACTTCGGTCCAAACCCACGGCAGGACTTTTACTCCTTTTTCTCGGGAGCTGCTCTTTGTCCGACGACCTCACATCCCCGTGGACGTTGTCTTCGCACAGTCACGCATGGATGGAGTTTATTCCAAACGAACCTACCGGGAACTCCTTCTTCTCCTGTAAAAGGAAAAAAAAAAACTTATCTTCCAACGAGGTCGCTGTTACTGCGCGTCCGAGAAATGAAAAAAGCCGCTAAAGTCTGACAGAAAGTTAAACGCCCGGGACCCGCTGGACCGATACAGGCACATTTTTTGTTAAGAGAAATATACACTTCGGTAGGCAGCTCAGACAGATCCAGGAGTTGAGATTTTCAGATCCCTCCTCCCGCGGAGCTCAGAGTTGACGACATCTGTCCGCCGCCCGGACGAGGTGCTGCGTTCAAAACTACAGGAAATGGGACTTTTAACGGTAGTTTCTGCACATGAATGTTTTTCGGTGTAGCTAGATGTGCAAATGGGTGCGTTTAATGTCAAAACAAACGTTTGTGGAAAATTTACCTACAGATTTAAAACTCATCTATATGTTTGAAAGGTAAGCCCACATTTAAAAAGTATATACAGACATCAAGAGATTAACAAGAGCGTCATCACCACTCCTACAAAAAAATCTGAAATTACGAAATAAAACGAAAAAAACCTTTACGTAAATTGCACCACACTTTTAGCTTAAAAAAAAACAAAAAAGCCAACTTGTTTTCAAATCACGATTAATTTATTTGGTCTTCAATTGTACGACCATATAAAAGCGATCTTTAATGCAGCAGATGTCTCGCCTCTGACTGGCAATAATCATCAGATTAGTCTAATGCCATTAAACGCATCTGCTTCCTGGAGACAGCCCTGTCCTGTCCGACTCTTGACTCATTTCACCTTTTTAAATGTGCCTGCTTGTAATTCGCTCTGAAATATGGACAAGGCTAAACAGGTTTATTCCAATTTGCTTCACCTTGGCGTGACTACCACCGGTTTCCTTTCAGGTATGTTCCTAAAATAGAGTGAAGAGAGCTGTCAGGTGGACACTGAGAGTTGCTGTTAGTAGGGACTCTCCTGCTTCCTGTATTTATTGAACAGCTGCAGCATGCGTGTATTTATTCGGTTCATTTGACCTCTAGGGCAGCAAAAAAAAAAGAAAAAAGGAGGGTGGGGTTGGTGTATTAAGATCTGGGCGAATGTGGGGGCCAGATGTTGAGCAAAAACCGCCACCTATGTGAACAAAAGTGTCTCTCTTCTGCCCGGCCTTCTGGGAATAACCTGCTGTAAGTGTCAAATGTAAGCAGTTATATTGGAATGTTTGTATTAAACCACAGATATTTCTTCTTTTTTTTGCTGTACACCAAAGCAACAAAAAAATGAGAAAAATAGAGCTATGCTAATAATTCAGAGCTTTATAATGCCGATAAAGTGTCTGTAAACGGACACAAACCCATATATTATAATAATAATTATGAATATTGTGTGTATGGTGAGTTAAAGTAATACCCGTGTCCACAAACTCAGTACGAAGACTCCAAAGCCTTGGATCCCCCTTTCTTTTCTTTTTTTTAAAAAAGAAGTACATTTCATATTCACACATCCGATATGATACATCCCTTCTCCAGAATTCTGTTCCCCTGTGATTCCAACAGAAAACATTTACACAGTCATAAATTCTCAGCATTTTTATTGCACAACATTTCCCAGAAAATTGGGAAAAAAATGTATTTGAGGTGACAATTCATAAAAGACATTCTGTACAAATATGTGGAAATACTCTGAATATATACAGTTTACATGAACTGCTACACGTACGGGCAACTAAATAATTTATCCATATACAAAGAAATAAAGAAGCATATATATATGTATATACATACATATATATATATATAGTTTAAACATAATGGCTGGCTTGTACAAAAATGTCGGCTTATGTAGAGGAGCATCCAGGTAAGTGTGTATTTATCATCTTAAAAAGCCAAACAAGCTCTGAAAAAATCTGAAGCATTTCTGCCACTTCTCAATTAAGACTCAGATCATGTTCTGGGTGCCCTTTGACCTTAAAGGCCAATGCTCCACCTCTCAGGGTAACAATGATAGTTACACCTGCTCTGTTTTCTTTTCGACCCTTGGAAGATTTGGGGATTGGTAAAAGAACAGGGCTCTGATAAATAAATCTCTTAAACTCTGAGTTTTTTCTTTGCCGATTTTGTGAAATGTTTTTCAAACAAGAATTCTCTAAATCAAAAAAAGGTGCAGAAAAATTCAATTATATCCAATTTCGTTTCCATAAAACATAAATATGAAAGCAACCAACCCGCCATGCTATGCTCTGTGTTTTAGGCTTCCATGGCTAAAAGAGAAAGTTGGCTTGTGGTAGTTGCTTTTTTTCCCTTCCTTTTCTGTTAAACGTGTATGGAAAAGTAATAGAAACAAGGATGAAAATAGCGTTAACAAAGTGCAAGCACATCCACGATGAGGTTTACCGTGAATCCCCCCCCCACCCCACCCCACGTCTTTCTGCAGCGAACGCTGAGCCGTAAACATCATACAAAGGAGGCGGAGCTACAAAAGTGTGAAAATACTTCAGCATTTTGGTTGTGTGATACATGTAGACGATGCAGATAGGCCTTTTTCCACAGTATAAAGGAGCCCCTTCTTGATCACCGTGTGATTGAAAAATACATTTGTCCTCCATTTTCAAAGTCTTAAACAGCCTTCCCTTTTTCAAACACAGCATAGAGTCTGCACAGTTGACAATCCGCTGAATAAAATCTTTTAAAAGTTTACCTCAGAGTTTTAAAGGGGCAGGTGCCCATGTGAATGTCTGAGGTAGTGCTGTACCTATGATAAGAATGTCAAAGCCACTTTTAGCCATCTAAAAACCAGTTTGTGGAACTGGGGGAAAACAAAAAAAATCAAGGTGAGTATTGACATCTCCCGTATGGCCCAAAAAAAAAAAAAGAAAAGAAATTGAAAATGGGCACCACAGTTAGTAAAACAACCAGAAACTGGAGCTGTCTGGGGGTAATCTGAACTGTAAACAAACACATGAGGACAAACAAAACTGCTGTACTGGCATGGGATTCATCATTCCCATAATTACCTCAACATTAAATTAGAAAAAAAAAACATTCAGCCATTTCCTTTGGACATGGGGTCCTTTGCTTTTTACAAACTGGCTTAAGATTGTATCGGAAAAAGAAATCAAACTCATAGTTACTACACTGTCAGTATCATAAAATGTCAGACTCACCAGGGGAAAAAAAAAAAAGAAAAAAGATTAAAGTCTTTGGCTTTTGTTTCCAACAATAAGAAAGTCCCGGTTTAAAAGCAACATTCAGGTCATGTCAGAGGTGCTTCAGTCATGGTGAGCTTTGCTCCGCGCCTGGTCTCTACCTCCACCCTGTGGTGCTGCGCCCACACTGCTCCGCGGTCAGGCCGGCCGTAGCAGTGGACACTGGAGCGCGGGGCAGAAGCCGTACCGGGGGGGTGGGACGTGCGGCGTGGCGTGGACGGCCGGTTTTGGGGGGTCTGCCCGAGGGGCCTCCGGGGTGCGGCCTCATAGTAGGATCTGGGCCACGTACGGGGAGTGGGTGCTGGCCACTGCAGCCAGCAGGGGCAGGTCACTGGACTCAATCCTGACCGGACAAACAGCAAAGCAAGATGATCCAATGAACTTCGTGTAGCCCAGGAGTTTAAAACTCATCCATAATGCCTTTACAAAACACTCTGCTTTTAAGTGAATTAAGAACAGCTTTGAATAGCAACTGATTCCATAATAGAGTCGGCGGCTTACCCTAAGACCATCCCCAGCTCTTTCACGTGGACTCTCGTCTGGCCCTTCAGATACTCGGCGAGCATTTTGCTCTTAAAGTAGATCTCCTGCAGACGGTCTTCAAGGTGCATTATGCACTGGAGAGGATGGAGGAGAGGAGAGGAAGAAGGAGAGGGGAAGATTAAACATATTACAGAGCGCAAGCACTTTGAAAGCTAAGAAATCATTCCATTAGCCGAGTTAATTGATGAAAAAAAAAACTGAGATGTGACGTACAAAGTTAGGCGAGAGGTTGAGTTTGTAGAGCTGGTGAGTGGACTGCAGCAAGCTGGACACCAGGCTGGACACCAGCACTTCTTTGCCCAGCTTGTTTACGTCGGTGGCTCGCCTCTGACTGCTGGCCACCTGCACCGTCCACTTGTCTGTGTCGGCCACGATGCAGACGGCCTCGGCTATGGGCTCGTCCAGCACCGGGTGCTGCGGGGGGGAGGGTGAACAGTTGTCAACAAGGAAACGGCCGCCGGACAAAGGCCGCTCACGCTTCAAGTGGCGAACAACAAAACCTGCGAGAAGCTCATTGAAAAAGAAAAATCTATCCGACATCATAGAGGCCCGTTGGGGTGCGTTACCTGAACGGCGTGGTTTAGCTCCGTGGTCAGGCTCTGCCGAAGCTTCTCGTCGCTGGGCATCCCGTGTAGCACAAAGTCCGGCACGTAGGTGGGGCAGTAGCCCCCGAAGAGAGACCGGCCGAAGTTGGCGATGTTGGGCTTCGAGTAGTTCTCCACCAGCTTTGACCTGCGGACGAGACGGACACCGTCTTCATTTAGTTTTTGTATTCTAAAACGATAGACTGTTACTCTCACTGAGCAGAAGCTGTCCAGTTTTACGAGAACAGGGCGGGGCTCACCCTGGAAAAGGAACCAGCTTTTCGTCCTGCCAGTCCTCGGTCTCCTCGCTTTCGCTGTCCCCCAGCGCGCTGTCCGAGCTCTCGTTGCGCGGGATCTCCCAGTCGTTGAGGGGCGCCGCCTTGTACTTTTGGTCCTTGCCGTCGTGGGGGAGGGGGAGGGGGCCGGACGCCGGCGGCTCCCTGTCCTGCTCGGCGGGGCAGCTCCTGCAGTGGCCGGCGTCCGAGGAGTCCGCAGAGCCGCACCTGCACCTCCGCCGGAGGCCGGACGGGGCGTCCCCCCTCCGGCCGGACGCCGTGTCCAGACCGCCCGAGCCCAGGTAGAGGCCCAGAGCCTGACCTCTGAGGGCGGCCTGGCAGCTGGGGTCCCCCGGCTCGTTGGGCAAATGTTTATACGTCCTGTCGGCGGCGCCGGCCTCCCGTTGCTTGGCCACGTCGTCTATAGTCCTGGTCTCCGCCGGGTTCTCCGGGCCGAAATACTCGTCGAAATCGTCCTCGCAGTGCAGGCTCCAGCGGGGCATGGTGCTGGACACCCGCTGCAGAGCCGGGGCCGCCTTGGTCAGTTTGGTTTGGTCCTCGGAATGGCTGGCGGTGGTGGTTGAAAGCGCCGGCTGCAGGGGGAGCGGATGCTTGTCCTGTTTGTGCTGCTTCTTGTGCTTTTTGATCTCCTCCTCCATCCTCCTCCGCCGGCTCTCCGTGTCCGACTCGGGAGACATGGAGTCTCCGATCTGGAAGGTGACCTTTGTGGCCGGTTCCTCCTCCTCGGTGGAGGCCAAAACCATGGGCCTGGTCGTGGCGCCGCCTGCTTTGACCGGCACCGGGACGGCGCAGACCGGGCTCTTATCCGGGGGTTTCTTCTCCAGGGGGGTCCCCAGAGGTCGGTGAGCCGGCGCTTTGTTGAGCTGCCTTGCCCCCGTCGGCTCCAGCCCGCCGTCCGCAGCGGTGGGGGGCAGCGGCTGGCCGGAAGCCGTGGGGGAGGAGATGGACGAGACGGGGCTCGGGTCGTCTTTGGTCTCTGCGTCCGGCGCCGACCCGACGTGCAGCGCCTGGCGGGTCGGCGGGCTGCCCGACTCCCTGCACAGCCCCCCGCGCTCAGCCGCCTCCTCGGTCCTGGTCAGGGAAACCGCGCCCTGGCCCGACTGAAGCACGCTGCTTCTGGACCCTTGGCTCTCGCTGCTGTCCTCCTCGTCCTCTTCGCCGTCCTCCTCGTCTTTGGGCGGCTCGGCGGAGCTGTGCTCGGCCTCGGTGTCCGTGTAGGCGCTGCCCTGGAGGCTGTTGTCGGAGGGATAGCTGCTGACCTCGGCCTCGCCCCGCGGGCCGTGGGCCCCCTGGGACAGGTAGTCCCCGCTGGGCTTGTGGACGGTGACTAGGACGTAGTCCGACTCCTCCACCTCTCCCTTCCGGAGGGAGGTGGTGATGAGGGAGCCCGGCATGACGATGGCCTCGTCCTCGGCGCTGTCCAGCAGGTGGGTCTCGAAGAGCTCCGAGCAGCGGATGAAGTACGTCAGCACGTAGAGGAGCCGCTGCACCAGCTCCTGTTTGCGGCCAACAACTACAGTCCTGGACAGCCGCACCGGAGACCCGATGGCCCCGTAGAGGTCCCCTAAAAACAGAAGAAAGACAGTGAATCAACTCTGTCAATGCATGAAAAGTAACCGTCTTTCTATTTTAAATAAAGTCCAATAACATTACTCTTCTTCTTCTTTTTCGACGACGTGACCGTAACCCTGCTGTTCTCAGTTAGAACCAACAGGTGGCAGCATTAACTCACTTTCTAAAGAAGGGAGGCATGGCTAAGCCTATTAGGCTTTTATTTACTGGACATCACTTTCAAAGGAAATCTACGGCAGCTGCTCAGGTATCGGCGGAACACGTCACAGAAACAGAATGACCGGTCGTCATACATAAACTCCTTTTTATGGCCGCGCTCTTCAACAGTTTGCACGTCACGGGAGCAACCTCAGAGCCATTACATTTTAAACCTATTACATCTGCGAGGCCATGGTCGAGAGGTTAAAAGTGCAGGAACACATACAAAGAGGACTTCATTAATGTGGTGTGTGGAGAAGATAGTTTGGTCCTAACTTGTTTCTCTGCTGGAAAAATACACAACCGGCTAAATAAACACTAAATGGAACAATGCTGCTTGTGTGTGTGTGTGTGTGTACTCAGCAGGCTCACCTAGCTGTGCCCACAGGGGGTTGTATGGATGCGTCTTTGCCAGCATATCGACGCTCTTGGAGGAGTGTTTTTCGAGGAAGATCTTAATGGGCGGCTGCCCGTTGGGCATGACGGTGGGCACCCAGGCCAGATGATTAGTCAGGATGGCGGTCAAAAGCGCAGGAAGGAATCTGGAACGTCAAACAGAGCCTTATGAGCAAGAAGCAATGACAGAAAAATGACTCCCTTATTGGTTACCATGTATGATGGATAACTATTTTCTTAGGAGTCTCCTAATATGGTTCTACAACGATAAGATCTCACTGCTTTTGGTCAGGCTTTTTTTCCCTTTCTGAACAGACAACCCCACACACAGGAACACACGAGGGACTGATGCACACACTATTAGTACTATTCACTTCTCAGCTCTGACCACAAGCGTCTACTTCCCTTCCTGTCCCATGACTCAATAGGAATGGAAGCTTAGTTTCACAACGTGCCAGAGAGAGTCACCACAGACAGCGTTCACTGGAACTCTGATGTGAGGGCTCAAACACGATGCTTCATGGTCAACTGTGTGTAGCGGGGATTACCTCATAGGGGACAGGTAGTGGTGGAAATTTTTCAAATGTGGCAGATGAGGAAAACTAATGGTTGCTTAGGAGATAAAGTTTCTCTTCCGAGCCGACAGATGGTAAGCTAGCGGAGTCACGATGGCATACATCGACGATTTAGAATAATGGGGTTTTCATTAAAAAAATACAATAAAACACAACTAGTCCCATGTGATAGACTTACTAAATAACTGAACAATAAAGACTTAGAGGCACTGTGGTGTCTGTTTATACGTGGACTTTCTGTAACTCATTCACCTCATGCAAAAAGCTTAGATACGTTGTCTGACACCATTTTCAGATAAAAACCTACAACATATCAGCTTGGGCAACAAGGGCCTCAAACAAGGGCCTAAAAAACTTTATTTTTTTTAAACGGTAACATATTGGGTAACTTTTATGCCCATCTGATAAGCAAATAAAAATAATCGATTTAGTAAATGTAAAAAAAAAAAAACGATGATAATAATTACTTTGAATTTACTTAAAAATCTATTGCTTCGGGTCAATTGGATGCATAAATTCAGTTCTATGAAGTGAACACTACTCAAATATTCTGCCCTGAATATGGTGCCATGTTCAATAAAGGCCTTGCCACCAATTCGTATGTATGTATATTAGCAGTACTTTGTGGTGGCTTTGTAATGGCAACAATAAGCAGTTAGAGACTGGCAGGGATCTTCTCATTCACAGCTCTTTTTTTGAGGCAGACAAATAAATGCAAAGAGGGTGAAGTAACCACAGTGTGAGTGTGAGCAAGTGTGTTCCAAAGTGTGAGAAGGGTTTGTGGGGAGGAGAAAGAATAGTGTGTGTGGATCTGCATGCGTTTTGTCTGTTGACACTGAGAGACGAGATTCAGGAAAAAGTGCACGGGGAACATTCTGACGTGCGCATTAGTCATCGCGTTTGATCTTAGATGAACGACACTCAACTGGTTCTTGGAGGCCTGCTCCATCAGTAGGGACAGCTCCCTCATGAAGTGACCGCAGAGCTGGTTTTTCTCCGAGGCCCCGGACATCATGGTCAGCCAGACGGGCTCGGCCACACGGGGCATCGTGTAGAGGTCGCAGATGGTCATCCTGGAGACGAGGTACGGCGACAAGACGAGGGATGAAAGTGGGAGGAGGAATGGAGGGAGAAAATAAAAGGGCATGGAGGGGGGGGGGAGGAAGATAGAAAACAGACAGATAGAAAACAGACAGAGAGAGAACAGACGTGTTATTGTCTTGCAGGGAAAACAAAGAAGATCTCAGTCCACAGAGCTTTGCTGTCTGCTGTGAGGCCATGGGAGACCCTCGCCGTGCGTGTTTGTAACAGTCCGACGAATCTGCACGCGCGCACACACGCCCGTCTCTGGGTGTGCGCGGCGTTTGTGTGCACGCGTGTCTATCTGTGTGTGGCTCAGCGGAGGCATTTGTCCATTGAGGGGGGACTGGAGTTTCCATGGAACGTTTGGTGCTGCTGAGCGGGTCTCGGCCGAGGGCCAGGCTTTCACACGGGGGGGGGAATCTGAACGCCGGAGAACCGCGGTTCACACGGTGCGGCTACCGACTCAGATCGTCTGAAGCTGTGCAGATTATCATCAAGGAGTCGTGGACTTCTGCTGACACGATGCGACAGTCCTGCGAACTATCGCGTACGAAATCAGCTGCCTTCAGCCCTGATGATCAGATATTCGGACTCAGATATTCAGGTTCTTGCTGATAAGGTTGCAAAACCCCGTGCTGATTTGATTTAGTCTGACATGGAGCAACGGGGGTTTTAGATTGTAAACAAGGTCAACTCGCAACCTCTGACCCATAAAGAAACCAGTGAAATCGGAGATAAAGACATGCTGCAAGCTGACGGAAAACGCAGCTGTCACAAAGTTAAACTGACCTTCACCAAAACTCCGATTCTGAAGATACTAAGCTGTTTTAGAAGGATATTTTTTCTCCAAAGAAAACAACACCTGTGGTTCTTGGGTTTAAAAGGGAATCAACAAAGAGAAGGATCAATGACCAGAAAATGCTACAAAAAAAAAGATAAAAAAAGAACAAGTTGTTCTTTTTCCAACTTAACTGTTTCGTGGCACAGCCCTCATCCTGTGCCAGCAAGATTAAACAAGATTAAACATCAAAAAGCGACACTTAATGGTCCGAATACGATTACAGATTCTTTACAAAGTTCCCACCATTTTGAACCTCGTACTATTTCAAGGCAACGACATCACCGTTAGTGTGATTGCTTGTGTCACAGAAAAGAAAACACTGCGGAGGCAATCGTGGTAATCATAGTATGCCTTTTAAAAAATGATCTATTCATCCGTCTCAAAAACAAAACATCAAGGCCCCGTCAGGAGCTCGAGAGAAAGAACTGAGCTGTGATTCATCACATCCAACGCACGCCTGGCTTTTGCCGTCAGCAGGTAGGATACGTTGTTCCAACTGGAGCACCAGGTGACCCCACGTGTCAGTCGTTCCTGTATTATGAATAGGCTGACTTTTTTTTTTTTTTTTTTAGCTCTCCCCTTGACCCGGCTCTGTTTGCGTACATTGGTGCACCGAGAGTTTGACGTGGCGCTGAATTCTGATGTCAGGCCTGCTCTGCGTGTGGGCTTCTCCGCAGCAGCCGTCCAGGTGAACTTTATCGACCTGGAGCCTGATGTAAAATTAAACCGACGTGTCAGGCTGAGGGGGGGGGGCTGGGTTTCAATTACCTTAGGCCAACATTTCTGACCCCAGTTAGGGTATTTTGCTTGAGGAGCTGTAATCACCGTCAATGGAACTCTGTAATTCCACTCGCCTTTTTTCTTCTGGTGCTAAATCAGGACGATGTGTTTCAAAAAAGCCAATGTTGTTATTAAAGTAAATAAGCTGGCTCGTTTCCTTGCAGCTCTTTGTCGCTTTAGGCTCATATCAGCTACCGAAACTGAGAGAAATGGGAAGAGGCCTAGTTGAACCGCCAGGAAAAAAGCTACATCTTGACTTCGCGTAAATGATTTCTCTTGGGAATGAACCTCCGAATGCAGCTTGCCTTAGCTTTCACTTGGAACTACACACTCACACACTGAACGCAAGTCCTGACATAACCCCAGCGCAGGCTGCTGTGACATTTATGTGCACATGCCAGCGCTAAGTGAGCTGCTTATCTTTGCCAACATGTGTGCACGCCCGCCCTCCGACGACGTCAAAGCCACATCAGCATTGCAGGGAGGAATTTCTTCCAGTTTCCTTCTGTAATGTTCCATGAAGTCAAAACCTCCAAATGGCAAAGCTCAATGCTTATATTTAGCCGTTGTCTGGAGGTGAGCTTTTACAGATATTTTCTGAGCCCAACACACTGGTGTTTCTCCTGCTGGCACTCGCATACTGTTTACTATTCCTGTGCTTGCTTGTGACCGCTGTGTAAGGTGGATAGGGTTTCCACTCAGGGGGGCTTGGGTATCTCGGGCCAAGTGTCAACAGCCATATGACTGCAGCAATGTGGAGACCTCAAATGGGGAACCGCAGCCAAGCGCGTATGCGGCAAGTGAAAGCAGCGGTGTGTGCACATTCATGGGTTTGTGTGTTTTATGGGCATGCGTGAGCGTCGCTCACACAACATACACATTCACAAAATGACGCTGCCTAATGAATACAAATTTATGACTTCATAATTCATGTCACCGCAAATAAAGATTAAATCCTTCTTGGAACCGACGCTTCACTGAGGACAACCCCCCCAAATGCTCTAAAAAAAGAATGAATGAATGTCCAGCATGCACTGTGGTTACAATGAAATGGTCAGCTCAGGTAGGGAACAAACTGTTCTCCTCCTTTCTTTAACTAAAAGAAAGGGACTTATCTTATTAGACTCAGTATGCACATATTTAACTGTTGTAATAATTATCTTGAAAAAGCATAGAAAGGCAGTGCTTTGTATGTGGATTTTTTACTTCCTCTGATCTTTTCAGCCTTTCAAGTCAGTTAGCTTTGCAGATTTGTTTGCGAGTGAATGTATAAATTATTCCTGAATCTGACACACAGTGAATATGTTGGTGTAAACTATCACAACTGAGATGTGAGAAGTACTTTCCTGGGGGAAAAAAATCCACATCGGAAAGCAACTTACTTATGTCTTTCACAGTGTGTAATGAGGTAAATTTCGTTCTCATTTTTTCCCCGTTCTCGGTCTGTGCGACAGCCATGTGTCAATATTAACAGATCTTTTACAACCCACAAAATGGCTACAGACTGTTTCCATCATATCTTGCATGGTGACGAAAATATACTGTCAATCCGGGAAGTATTGATACAGTTGGATATTCCGAGGCCAGATGTTATTGCCACGTCTTTTTCTGAGTTTCTGAGTCATGATGCAGACACTTTTCCATGTATCCAGGGAGAGAAATAGTGTCTAGCTACAGCATATAAAAACTTAATGGCAAAGGATGGTTGGGTGAAATGGGAGAATACACTCATAAACATGCAGTAAAAATAAAGAGGTCACTGTGTTCAAAGAGATGGATTGTGCTTGGCAGAATTTTCTTGTAGAAAAGACAAAAAATGATGAGATTCATTTTTGTGTTAATGTGAGTGTTTGCAAGCTGTCTAACCTGAACTCGTTGAGCCCATCCACCATTCGGCTGTAAGCCAAAGCCCTCTGGCTGGCATCAGCTGACCGGCGACTCATCTTCATGGCCTTGAAAGCGACACAACACACATGCACTTTTAGATATTTGGCACTGAGGCTGTCAAATGGAGGAATTTGAGAGGGAGACTGGCGGAGGAGCAGAAAGCAGGAATGAGGGCAAAACTGGAAGTCATCCAGAGCTGGACGGTGCCAACAACACACACCAGTCAAAAGAACCACAGATATACAAGGTATGACGATGGACTAGTCGATCTGACATCAACTCTGCTCATTACAACAGCAGAGAGGATAAGGTTTGTCAGTGACACAGTGTGTACAAGTCGCTGGCTGCCGTATCTCCACAGAGTGGATTGGAAGCGCGCGGCAGAAAATAAAGGCAGAACATTTGCAAGCTTTAGGCTGAATGCGAGACTAAAGCCGCATTCATGTACCTGCTCAATGGAGCTCTTCAGTTTGTTCATGTGGCTTTCGAAGAGGGGGAAGTGAGAGAAGAAGAAGTCCTGGAAGCGGCTGTTCTCCTCCGGGTTGGGGGACAGGGTGAAAATGACTCCGATTGCGATCTTCTTCTTTCGGGTGGCGCCAAGGCTCGGACCGGCACTTTCATCGGACATGTTGAAGCTCTCCTCCACCGACCTGATCAGAATACATTATACGGGGAATCAAATTATGAGAACAGACTAGAAAAAAGGCAACAAGCTTGGTATGACATCTGGAGCCCTAGAATTTCTATTTGTTAAGGGTTCATGAATCCACAAATTCATTGTACTTTTGCAGCATGTAGAAAAACATTAAGATTAGATTAAAGTGAGTAAAAATGCTTCAGTCCATTTTCAAAACTACAAAATATGAAGGAAATGTTAAGATGATTCGGTAAAAAGCGCTCAGAGGCCGGAAGCTAAGGTTATAGCAATAGGACGACACGGCATCCTGTCCGGTCACAGCAGTGTGGATTCAGGAGCCAAGTTATTAGCACATAGCAGGAGAGTGTCATTTTCCCAGCTGCCTGCTGGATTCTGAGGAAGTCAGGGCAGGATAAACTTTACAAAAGCCAGACAGAGGCCCTGGCCAGGGTGGGAAGGCAGAGTCTGGGAGTGTGACTGATGGGAAGTTGCTCGTCACGCTCTGCTTAACATTTCAAAACCTGCAATTCTGTGGCCATGAAAGAGCTGAACAATGAACCCATTCATTTGGGGGAGGGGGTGTTAACATACCACCACTTACCTTGAAATACTATCAGTTAATTGTTTACGGTTAATTACTTTATTACTACAACACAAACAAAACTTTTTTCAAATGAATCCATGATTAACTTAATCTGCTCCTTTTGAGGGACAGAAAACTGCATTCAAGCTATTTTGAGTTTCGTTTCATATTTGACAGATGCGTTCAAAAAGTGCGTTTGCAGTCTTGTGCGTGTTGCTCCCTCACCATCGGGGGAAGACGCCGTTCTCCAGGCTGGTGGTTTGGCTGCGGAGCCATCGGCGCTGGTAGCTGGACGCACAGCTGCTGGTCAAGGAGGAGCCCGGGGACGGGTAGGGAGTGATCAGCAGGCTGCTCAGAGAGGCTGAAAAGGACACAGGGGCAAAGAAGGGCAAGAAGACATTAACAAATGCAAACGAGGAGGAGGAGGAAAAGAAGCAGAGTTGGGTGGTACAAGGTGGGGGTACAGAACAGATGGGAATGGTGGGAGATGGAAGAGTTAAAGGACACGAGTGAGTCAGACGATCAGAGCAGGCGGTAACTCATTCTCAGTGACGCACCGTTCTCACTCTTAGAGACGGAATGAAGGACGTCAAGTGTTCTTAATGAGACAAAGAAAAACTACTTGGAAAAAAAAAGGGGGAACTAAACGCAGCAAACACTAAATACAGCACACACGTCTTTCCCAATTTCCCCATCACACAGGGTGTGATAACTGAATGCCTTTCATGTGAGATCTGATAACGGCTTCCTCGGTTGCGGTTGTTGGGCCGCCTGGCTTTGCACCAGACAACAGCGTGGACACACACAAACAGAGAGATGGCCTCTAGTCACGGAAAAATAAACAAACTAATATCTCAAAATCAACGTGAATCATGGGGAAACTTTGTGGGCCTATAGGGGGACACGTGTGTGTGTGTGTGCCAGTGCTGGATAAAGTACTCTTCAGCCCACATGTGGGGTTGGGGAGAGAGGACAGAATGAATCTTAAATTAGAAGCCCGTTTAGTAGTGGCGGGTTTTGCAAGCTGCTATATTTAATCTCCAGCATGTGACCTGTGTTTGAGCAGGGAGTGCGACACCGGTCCTGCCGCTGGGACGTGGGGCAGAGGTCGGCTTCCACGGGACAAGCTTTCCCAGTGTCACAGGCTGTGCTGGCTAACATCTCACCACCTTCCAGCCTGTATCCCTTTATTCTACCCGGTAAGGATTCTTTTTAAGCAGCCTGTCAGTCTCAAGAGGAGACACTGGTGATTCAAATTTATGAAGGGAAACCTGTGTATCAATAGCTAAAGCTACCACTTAAGCATCATGGGTTCTGTAACTGTCAAAGTCTTGACCTTGATCGGTCAAGTTAAAGCAGCTCAACCACACACACACACACACACACACACACACACACAGGAAGCTCTTGTGAAACAAAACCAAAAAAAACACACACTCGTTAGGTGCATGCTCATCATGAGGACCACATGATGACATTTTTTTTTAAAGAACTGAACGCTTTAAAGTGGATCAAAGGGCCACAAACAGACTCCTGATGCACTGTTACCTTATCATGTTTTTTGTTTTTTTATCTACAACAATTTAATCTAAGCACACTTCAAAGCTCAGCTGTAAGACTGAAAGCGCAGCGGAGTGTAGGTCAATCCTGGCTTTGGCTGCTAGTCTCATTAACGTACCTGACCTGGCGATGCCACTGTCCCTCTCATCGTGCAGACCTCGGCCGGGCATGTCCATGGGGTGGCTGTGGCCTGCAGGAAGGGAAGAGGAAGATGTGGAAGTGGGGATACAAAGGGTCGGGGCAAGGGATGAGACAGTGGGAAAGAAAGAAAGGGGAGGGAAAAAAAAGGACAACATTTGTAACGGGCAGAAAAATGCCAGTGCCGAAACGAAGCAGAAGATAAGCTGAAGACGCCTGTTTGAAAACGAGGACCGGGACATTCGGCGTCCTCAGCATCCAGAGTCTGCACGTCGCTGATTGTTACAACGGCTGTTTGAGCTGCCGTTGTTTTGCAACTCCACCGAGAGGAGGTGTCAAAGGCAAAAACAACAAAGGAAAAAAACGGTTGCTTGTAACGTGCTCTTACTTAACACCTCGCTCACCATCAGCAACAACAGATCTTTCAACAAAATATTTCCCAATGAGTCCATCTATTTAAGGCTATAAATTTGAAAAAGAGCTTCTTCTACTCAAGGAACTACTTTATAGGCAGAACAAGAATCAAGCTTGTAGTAGAGCTTACTCTGATCCATCTCGTGATACCATTAGAGCCCTAAATTCATCATCTGCACAACCACGGGCCTAAAAAGTCAAAAGCAACCTTTATCAAGGAGCCCTGAGACAGAGGGCAAGGCCTTAACGTCACAGAGTCGATCAGAAATTACACAATTAGAACAAATAGATCCACAAAACAATAGCGTATAATTACCGTAAACAAGATTACGTGAAAACTTGAGCACTCCTTTTCGTTATACTGATAGGTTCGGTAGTTATTTAGGAGCATCAGTGGAACTCCTCTTTGAGGGATACAACCACGCAGCTTTTTATGGTCGGCAGCGGGCAACTTAACATTGAACCACAGTCTCTGAAATGCCGAAAATTGTCTTTTTTTTTATGTGTAGCTCTAAAGATATAGGCGTTGTTTTTATTCTTTCACAAAAAACAAATATCTGTCCGGACTAGTTGTCTGAAGGGAAAAGAAAACTTCCAGTAAAAGTGGGTAAGTAGAAAACACAAAGAAAAAGAGAAAGATCAACTCTGAGAAAAGGATTAGATGCTACAGTTACCAACACCAGTTAGCCCCCATGCACTTTATTTATGTGCAATACACCTGGGTCAAACATTACTGGCTGACGTACTTGTGGGTTTATTTTGAGAAAACTTCCTGATTGAAGTTGTTTGATTGGACATTATACCAAAGAATGGGGAATAAAGAGCAAGGAAAATGTCTGAAACAATGAATTTCCTCCACAATTTGCAAGCAGGAAGTGTACTGTCTCGATACAAATGACAATCAGGAGTTGGCCCCCTTCTTTTCAACCAATTGTTCTGACCTTACCAAACAATCAATCATCTTAGTAAACGCGTCGAATGGAACCCCTCAAAGATTTCTTTCAGCGGCAATAACGTGACCCAGGTTATTTGCAGCATGCAGTAGCATGGCATGCTTTGACTACTACTACCACCACTTCCAGTGAGAGGTTCACCACACAGGCATGCACCCTGCTGAGCGGCCCGTCCTCAGCAGTGACTGCTGTTATTCTCACTACGGCCTCTACGCACACACATGCAGCCGGCACACAGCAACGGCAGCCGGTTTGAAGGGCCAACCTGAAAAGAAAGATGCGCTCTTGATGAGGCGCAGCGGGCCCTGTTCAGAGAAGGCCCGGCGAGGGCTGCAGAGCTGAGAAAGTCCTGATAAACAGAAAATATGGAAGAGAAGGAAAGGGGGGGGAGGACAAAAACATGAATTATGATTAGTGAATGAAAAAGAGGGAAAGCTGGCTATGTCCTGCTCCCCGAACATCTTGTTAGTTACGGGAGATTTATGGTCTGGGAGAAATGAGGATCATCCGTTGGCCGGTGAATAACCAGGGAGCTGGTATCACTCAGAGACAAACAGCTAGTCCATGCTGTTATCATCGTTCAGTCGTTGCAGGATTAGACCTCTGATCTTAAGAAATGGACAATCCGATACAGGTTTTACATGACTCGTCGTTGTATAAAAGTTTGTTATAATCCTTTTTCAAATAACTCCGTTGCATAGTCTTGACTTTGGGTATGTCTGTTTAAACTTGCTGCATCTCAAAATACTGAGAAAAAAAAACTTTCACGATCAGCAACAAGGCCAATCGAGAGGCTTCCGGAAGCAGCTAAAGTGTCAGACAGGAGCTGATTTGCTAAGGTATCATGTAGCTTTGGGACCCATTTAAAACTTATATCTAAATTTAATCTAAAAGAGGGACATTGGGCTGTTGGTCAAGTCTTTCAGGAAGGTTTGTTTGTAGCAAAACAAGAATGGTTAAGGGTTTCAGAAGAAAAAAAGGAGACAAAGTAGGTAGCACGACGACTGTGAAATGAACCAAACAAACAGCTAGAGCCCAGCTGCCTTCAGCTGAAACTATTCCCACTTTATAATGCGTGTAGTATCAGCTTTCGACTAAAATCCTGTAAAGTGAGAGGAGAAAGAGGGACGTAATTGGTGGATTGGTGTTGTTCGATGTGTTACTGCGTTGCTATGGTTACCTATGTTCCCGAGAAGACTGTTTGGCCCTGTGTTTTGATCTGGCCTTAGGGTGTTGCTGTCCTGTCCTATGAACTCCAGGCTGTCCTGTAGCCTGCGGGGAGGCAGAAGCAGAAAGGCGACAAGGATTAAATGCATAGGTTTTCTCAGTGTTTCAGTCATTTTACAACAGGAGAGCGCCTTATAACAACATTTGCTTTTAACAACTTGTAAATTGTAAATACACCATCTAGGATACCATAAAAAGACCTGAAACACAGAGGGAGGACAAAGGTTTACTGAGCTAAGATAAACAATAAGAATATCCATCATAACTATGACGGCTGGAGCAGGAAACGCAAATATGAGGACAGGGTACCCAGAAATGTGAGGGGCTAACTGTGAATATTTGCCTACATGGGTATAAAGTACTTCTCTATGTTTAAGTTTATGTTTATGGTTGATATATGCCCTTTAGGAAAACATAGGGGATAGGCATTGCATTGTTTCAAATATTTGTTTTTGAAAAATACATGCAATAAAAAAACAGAAAACTGTGTGAGTGCTTACGTGTTGAGACTGCCGTACACGCTGCCTCCTGTCCGGGCGGTGAAGACCTTACTCAGCATGAGCTGAGGTGGCGATCTGATATGACGATATGACAGGGACAAAGATTATCAGCCTGAAAAGCTTGGACGCATATGCAGACATGAGGGCTCTTTTATGTCTCGTGTTCCTTTACTCTCCACGCATGTAGCTGCTTATTAACCGCCAGAACTGAGGCTACACAACTGGATTTAGGATAAATACCTGGATGTCAAAGCGTGTCTTTTGACTTTCCCCCTCATTATAAGGAGAAATGTCAGTCACATATTTCTTACCTGATCTGGTGGATTTTGAGAGTGGACCCTTTGTAGCTCATGGCCACAGAGCCAAACATCATCTCCCCAAGCATTACCACGTCGGATGAGCACCTCGAACCCTGTACGGGAGAGCAATCTCTTTACACTTCGTAATTCTTAGAAAGAATCAAGTAAATTAAATCCCTTATGGGTCGTACAATTTATGCATGCTGTGTACTGTTCAAGAAGAATTACCGTGACGGTGTAGCTGTGTGTAACCCCAGACTGTGAGCATTACCTGAAAGCGGAGGCCATGCTCCCTGGTGTCTCTGGTTTCAGAGGTGCAGGAGGAGGAGCTGTCCAGAGAACTGCTGCTGCCTCCAGTTGGACGGAGCTGGCAGCATTTACCAAACATCTTAGCCTGCCCATCTGTGCTCTAAGGGTAAAAAAAACGACAAAAAAACATTTCAAGCCAGATGCCATAAAACACTTCAATTCAATTGACCAAAAACGCTATACTCCTTAACAAAAATAGAATAAAGGATACTTTGTTATTTTTAAACATCAATCACTACCACTTCTTTTTAGAATGTTAACAAGATATGAATAAATAAAGCAAATTAACAGTTTATTTGTTTTTAACATGATGAAGCTTGCCCTTTAAATGTGTGATCCCCTAAGGAATAAGCGGTATAAAAAAGGATGGTGGATGGACTTTAGAGGGCAAGAGTTATGGAGCCCTACATTTGGATACAAAAAATAAACAATAGAGAAAATCTTAGTATTACAATTAAGGGGAAAAGATAACGTTGAAGCCGTACTGTGTGGGTGAAAAAACCACAGAAATCTAATCCAAAGGCACTTTGGTAAACAGCTAACTACCAGAGTCATGTGCCTTCTTAACTTGGCAGCCTACTGAAGAGGAATGCATTTGGGAGGGTGGGAAAGGGAGGGAGAGGGAGTGTGTGTGTGTGTGTGTGTGTGAGAGTGCATGTGTGTGCTTTTTAGCTCAGCTCTAATGGCTCACTTGAAATTACTGTTGCATCCGATGCAAAACACAAAGGGGATGGGAGGAGGAAAACGGAAAACGAGCAGACAGAGTGACTGATAACCGGGGCTTAAGATACAAAATAACCATCCACTTGTGTGCAGATAACTTTGTACATTTTATATCTTTCTCTATTCGTGTTTGTTACTTTGTGGCACACGCGGACGCTCGTGAAGCCACTCTTGAGTGCTTGTTCCGAGTTTGCACATGGGTGTGTGTGTTTGTGTGTGCGTGTCTGCTGCAGTGCAGTGTGAGGTGTGTACACAGAGTTCAGCAGCATGTGACTGCCAGTCATATGACTCTTTCAGAACTCGTGACTGAGCAGCGCTGCAATCTCTCCCTGCCTGCCTCTCCCCTCCCTCCGCAACTCAAAAATATATCCCTCCTATTCCCGGAGATTCTTTTTCTCTCCTTGAAACATTTTTTACATTTTTACTCTGTGCCCATGTCTTTTCATCTTCAGGCTTTATCTGGTTCGGATCCATTTCGCTGATCTCCTGCATGGCTTGCTTGATCCCCCTTTTCTCTATTCCTCATTCTCTGCAAGGACGTGCTTTGCATGTTCATACTGTTGATATGTCTAAAATAAATTCCAATGAGTTGACAAAAGCAGTGGTCATGTGGCTAGCAAAGCCGTAATGCTGCAGAATGCAACAGAAATACTGACACCAGCACATGCGCACACCCAACTGAACCCTCTCACTGCACGTCTTTAAGGACAACTGTATGCTATAGGGGTCGTTTCAATTTGCTTATTTCTAAGCCCATTTAAACGCGGTGCTACATAATCTAAAATCAGGGAAATTATCTGAAAAGATTCATCTCAGTGGGAGCAGGAGGTGAGACTACGCCTGTTTGGTGGGAAAGTTAAGGAGATAACCAGGTCAGCAGGAAGTCGAAAAGACCACAGCGTCCGCAGAGGACAGGTAAAGACTGTGTTAAGATGGATGCATTTAAACAAAAAACGACAGAAGGAAGACAGATATTAAGCTAGAAAACAATGTCTGTTAAAACAAAAATCAACAAATTGTGAAATAGTGTTGTAAATCGAGATATTGCAAATCAATACGGAGGCCCTTCATGCTTGTACAGGCAAGAGGGACAGGTAGCGTTCCAAAAGACAGACACTTCAGAAAAGACAAAGATAAGAAGAGTGATTCATTTAGAAGTAAACCTTTTTAAAAAAGGATTGTGATCATGAATAATAATAGTTTTAAAAAGCTTAAGATAGGTGAATATGGCCAAGAGAGAGAGAAAAAAAAAACTAAATGTAGACAGTGAGTGACATGCCTGTCATGTGAGGATGAAAGAATGCTGCTTACAAACGGCTGTCAGCTGAAGCTATTATTGTTGGAGATAAGAGCACCAGAACAAACCGGTCGGGGTCAGACACCGACGCGCAGCGGGTTTATGAAAATATTCACTCTGCTACACAGAATTAAAAGGGGCCGGAGTGGTGACTGTTTGTTGTCATTAGCGCACACAAACAAACGGCTCCTTTGACCTACTGCCAAAAAATCGGCCTGCAGGATGTGCACAGACAGAAAAGTCACATAAAGAAAAAATATCTTGTACGTAACAACTGTTCACTCAGCTGTTTTTTTGCGTCTAATTCAAATGCGATGCTCAAAACTCAAGAGCAATCAGAAAAACATTTTAACTTAATGCTAGCTGATCTGAGAGCCCATACTAGGGCACTGTACAAATAATAAAAAGGGAAATAGTTATATTTAATTCAATAAAATTTGAAACAATCTCAATAAAAAAACGCAGCCAAAAAAAGTCAAGCACACGGTTAAAAAAGAGGCACTTCCTGCTGATCTCACCGATACTGTTCAGTGTGGGGCGGAAAGGTTTTGGGTAGGTAATTGTGCCGCTTCTGGAATCGACACATGACGAGCAGTGAGTCACATCCCGGTGGCTTTCACTCTGTTCGCATCAAAGTCCGGCTCTCTGTTCATGTCTGTGCTCATCTGCTCCGACTGTCCGCGAGCTTTCAAGGTTACATTTTTGGCATGTTATAAAATCAAGACTCAAGATTTTGAGTCAGTGTTACCTTGCCTTGAGTTATATAAATTCTAATACATTTATTTTAAAGCATTTGATCAAAAGTATTTGACTGAAACGGGAAGGACATAAAGAGGACACAGTCCAGCTATAAAAGCAGAACGAGGTGGGCTGCCAAAAGACAGACACACACAAAAGAAAAAACGTGACTCACAGTGATGGGGGTTTCCTCTGGGCCCCTTTTCTTGGCATTGGAGTCAAAGAGGACATTTCTGCCACGCCTCTCACAATCCTGGTACACTATCAGCCTGATCTGACTGGGCTCCAGCTGGGGAAGTGGCCAGCTAAACAGAGGGAATGGAGGACAGAAGGAAGAGGGATCAAAGTGGGAGAGAACAGAAGGAGATGTTTAAAACGGAGCATAAGAGCATGAAAAACGGAGCTGAAATGGAAACGACATTAGCACAAAATAAGCCAATGAAAAAGAAGCAAAACAGAGGTATTTTAGGTAAAAACGCAGTCATTTAATAAAACACTTCCCAAAGCATCCAGGTGCTGTAAAGTTCTACATCAACAAGTATGTCATACACATCTGACGCTGCAATGTTGCCAATTTAGATCAACATTTACATAAGAAATTAGCAGAAAACCACAGTAATCTAAAAGTTGTTTTCAAACGAAAATAAGAATGTCCTCAGCACTAGACTATCCAACAACTAGGATGACAGAGAACCCTCCCAGATGCTAAGCACGAGGACAATGCAAATATGACGTACTTAGAGGCTTGTAATAAACTCTGTTTGAGCTGCCACCCGCCCCACCTGGCATGGCATGGCATGGCATGGCCGCAAAATCCATGCCACAGCTGCCATTCATCCATCTCATGCTTCGACCAGCGGGGAGTCACAAAGCGTGCCATGAAACCCGGCGCCCTCCCTGCGGTACCCAGATAGGAAGTAGCTCCTCAAAAGCGAAAAAAAGAATAACAGTGTCTGCAGATGATTTTTGGATCGTCTGTCTGTACTTCACCTGCTCAGTTTGGGGCTCCTTCCTTCTTCACAACACATATGTCTGCTTTGTAGTCACCCAAGGGGGGTATAAGCCAATTTCAACCGTGCACTGTTCTACCAGACTCTAACATTTCATGCTCGTCCTCAGATAGAACGCGCACGCAGACTAACAGTCGAGGGGATTGCTTCAGATGAGCACATGTGCAAAACCAAGATTGAGTTAGTCAAATGTAGTAAGGGAGGATATCCTGTGGCTGAACAGTTAACCAGCAATCCACGGGTGAACGCTTCAACACCCAACTTACTCTTTGCAAATGTCAAAGCACGCTTGGGAACAATACTGTGGCCCACATCTCACCCTAGTGTGTTCCTCGGCTCATATCTGATGTAACTTGTTGCAGAAATCCACCTGACTGGGTCCAAATGGCTATTCACCTAACTCTGACATGCCTACTTACTTTCTGATAAACTCTTGCAGTTCTATGACAAAATAGAGGTAAGAAGGTTGAAAAGTGATTAAAGCGACTGATGGTCAGGGATTCCTGTCTGATCTGACAGGATGGGTCAGGCAGACGGACACAGGGCAGAACCTAAAAATAGCCTTTTACTGGGGACCTAGGGGCACCCCTACACACACAGGGGTGAATAATAAATAGATGAGTGAAGATTAGAAAAAAGGAACAGTTAAGCTGACTTGAAAGAGAATGAGCAGACGGATAAACTCACATCCTAAAGCAGCATTTTATCTGCTTTTCAGTGAGATCTGGAGGAGAATACCCGTTGATGTAAGGTTGTGTGCAAAACACAAATAGTACGCGAGTACCATTCCCAAACACGTGAGTCTCTATTTATCAAATAATGGTGTCAAATTGTGGCCTTGCCTTGCGATGGCAAAACAAATTTGTCGTGCAAAAGATGCAAAATTAAACTCAATGGTGACCTGTGAGGCAGAACCATTACACGGTGACCTAATTCATCATTTGACCATCTCCAGATTTCTATCCTCTGAAAATGTGCCTCCTCTGACCCAACTTAATAACCGAGATAAATCTGCCTCTCCTATTGAAAAGTGGAATGGTTAACATCTTTTCACGGCAAAGAGACTAAATGGATCAGTAAAATTAACTGGTATTTGTCCCTCGTCTATTTAATGAAAAATGGATAATGACGAACAACCCCAATACAAGGATGACTGAACAGCTATCTAACTATGTTATGGAATCAAATTGCTGACTGTTCTCACGTTGTTTTCAGTTGATGAATTTGGAAATTTGCAAGAACCAAAATCAACCCAGATTTCTTTTAGTCTTTTTGTCTTTTATCCGAGGGAAGACCCAACCTCTCATCCAGTCTGCCGGCTTAATGTGTGACGTAGAGGCTGCTCGTCTTGCATAATGGGCTCAAATGGCATTGTATGGGGCTGGGTGGGTCGGCTAAAAGACACTAGTGAGTGTAAAACTACTCACACTTGTTGAAGTCTGTCACATTTCTCCTTGCAATTCAAATACCATTGCTCTTGAATGGTTTACCATCAAACTTGTGCTCGGCTCAATGTGGAAGGCTTTGTATGAGTTTCGTGGGTGAAAATTTCCAGAAATAGGTGCTCTCATGAGAAGAACTAAACATCCCATTTCCGGATACCTCGATAAATTCAGTCCACTATGTGTATCTAATGTGTTAGGGACCTTTCTCAGACCTTTAAAAGCACGGTGTACATTTAAAAAATAAAACTGAAAACAATTACTAAAACATTAGAGAAGTTAAATATATTTGAAAATAGAGTTATTGTGAAAGGGAAAAAGAAAACAGAGAATGTCGATAATAATATTAATAAAAGATCACTAAAGGAAAAAGTAAAGCCACAACATCTGAATGCCGACCAAACGCATTTGAAAGAGAAGGCAGGGCGGAAGCAGAGCAGAGGAGGAAATATTCATCAGTGAGCGTGTGACAGTCACAGTGCCGACAGGGAGAGGGGAGTCATTCATAAAAGCAGCACATGACTTCATGACTGTTACATACTTGTACCAGTCTGCCCTTGATTGTCTTAAGCAGCAGTGAGTCAACAGATCTTAGGAACACAGATATATATATATATATATATATATATATAAAAAACATTAAAAAGTATATATTCTCATAACCTTAACCATTAAAGAAAACCTATTAAATTTTGGGGGGAAAATAACAACGGGTTAATTGTCGAGATCCAATCGGGAAAGCCAGCGGTATTCCGAATAACTGAAAAATTAAGCTTCTTGTTTAGCGACAGCTAGCGACAGTTACTGAACGGCGTGTGCAGGGAAGACTCTTTGAACTCACTCCACCCAGACGTGTGTACGCTGACAACAAAAGCCAAGCTTCCCTCCAACTCCCGCTGCCCACATGACTGCAGCTGATACAATCGGTCTGTCCACCACACTGCGGCTGACAGGAAAAAAACTGCTACCTTGCCACTTTAAACTGCCTGCGCGGACCACTTTTAATTCCTGAAGCTGAAAACCTTCTTGGGACGTGTATGAAAGCGCCGCTCCTGATCTCAAACCTCCGCCCGCTTTGCGTGCATCCACCCCGGGTTAAATGTTACCGATTCCTACCTGGGCATCATCGTGAGTCTGCCAGTCTTTCCCCAGCCCTCTTCCTATCTCAAACTCCTCTCGTCTCCCCTCCTCCGCCAGCTCAAAGCAGGGTCTAAGAATAGCAGTGAACTAAATTCACACAACATGAGACTATCAGGTGATCACAGCAACGCTGTGTGAGCTGGACAGTACGGAGGCAGAAACAGGGAGGCCGGACTGCTGACAGCCAGAAAGTACTGTGATAAGAGTGTGACAGAGGGGATTTGTTTGTGTGTTGTTTCTTAATCCCTCTCTCTCTCTCCCTCTCTCTCTCCCTCTCTCGATTGTGCCCTCTCAACACCCATCTTTCTTTGGCCCAAAAATGTAAATGTCCAATTCATTCCCGACAAAGAGGGATGTGAACACAGAGGGAAACAATGACCTTAAACACCTCAGAGCCTTTCAAAGAAGCCGATTCCTTTGAAAATACTCTTGTCTGCATCTTGGCCAGGTCTCAAACGCATTATTCCAGAAAGTCAAACATCAAACTCACATTTTCTACCAACAGGCAGTAAAAACACTGTCCAGGTCTTAAGAAAATCAATAAAAGACATGCAGGAATTTTGTTCAGACACAAAACTGAGCCCATCATGTTCTTCTTTTCTTATATGGATCCTCTTCAAACACTAAAAAGACTCTTTCCATTCAGATTTAACGATAGTATCGATAGGAGTAACAATACAACTAGAATCTTAACAACCATCCCTTGCTATAACAAAGCAGTCTAGATTTGTGAATTGCTGACATCAGACTCATCAGCCTAAACTGACCTCAAAGAGCCTTGGCACCCTATCCACTGCCACTGGAACATCTGTGCAAGAGTGTGTGTGTGTGAGAGAGAGAGAGAGAGAGAGAGAGAGAGAGAGAGAGAGAGAGAGAGAGAGAGAGACAGACAGAGGGACAGTTACATAAACATCCCCTTGGCCCCAGCTCTGTGACATTTTTCCAGCTGTGTGGCAGAAGAGTTCATCACATCCCAGAAGCCTACTCTGCCCCACAATTCACCAGCCAATGAAGACCTGGACGGCTAAGATTATTACAGTCACATAAAACCCAACTGACTATTAGAGACAAGCCTTAACATGCCACTCAGATTAATAAACTGCAGAAATTGATTTGACTACAGTCAAAGTCCCATTTTCCCACAGAGAGACAAATAAAGAGCTGCTGTCAAACAGCCAGTGTGACTTACTTATCCTTATCTTGAAATCACCTGACAACCTGCATATTAGGTAGTATTAAGGCCTTCTGCATTCCAGCGGTCATATGACACAGAGCCAGTGAAGACACTACAACGTGCACACCGGTTTCTGTACACACACCTACATTCAAGCATCGAATACCTGACAGACTCATGGTGGTAGCGCCTGATGAGACGTGAAATCCCTCTGTGTATTTTTCTGTTCACGCTGGTTTTAAAAGATGTTCGTAAAGCTACTATACCAATTATGTAAAGATGCCTTAGTCTGAAGACTACACCTCAAACTATGGCAAAGAAAAACAAAGTGCATTTTTGGGAGAGCACTTTTACTTTGGGGAACTTTGGTTTTCAAAAAACACAAATGACCATCACTACGCTTCGTTTTCCTTTGAACCGAGTGTTCTTGTGTCACAACTTCTGAATCAGCAACTCATGACCTTAAGGGAATGATGTGAAAGCTGACAGCAAAGAGTGTGTCTCACACAGAGTCCCATGAACGGACCACATTCACCAGGAGTGG